GTTTCTCTGCAATGGTGTGTAGTGGCAAGTGCTATGTTTTGAAAATAAATAAATAAATAAATAAAATATATCTATCTATATCTCATTCATTCGTTCGTTCATTATATTGTTTCTCTTTCTCTGGGCTGATTCTTCCCCACCCTACTAAATTGGGACACTGGTTAATGATTTATTATTTTTGTTCTTGTAATGGCTTTAACAAACTTTAATAAAATTAATCTTGCTGGGTTTTATAAGCCCCTTACAGGCAAAGCATTACTTATCAATAAAGTCTGCTTTCAATTTGGCATTTAAACAAAAGCAATTTTTTAATACTATGTAATTATCTGATAGGAAAACTATTATCTATATGAATGAGATTTGATGTTTACTCTATTCGCACCTATTAAACACTATTTTTACACCCTTTTATCCTGTTGTTGCCTTGATTGCCCCTATGTCATGTTTGATATGTTTGTATACAGTACACCGAATAGCCATGAGGGAAGTCTCTCGACTCTGGGGTAATGCACTCCTCCTTTATATCTAGTAAAATAACTTATTACACCATAAGGTCTTGCACGTGCTCTGCTTCATATATAAAAGATTTAATTGCATTTAATACCATTTAACAAACTCCATACATGCTCATTATAGTTATCTACAATACAAAAACATTTTTGTTGTGCTGCTAAATTTGTGGTGACTATGCGATATATAGAGAATGGTTTTGCATATCAACTTTAAAACATTTAAGTCATATACTGTATGGTGGTAAACAAAAAAAAAAATCCCTATTTGACCACACCACACTATAAGGTGAAGGGACGACGACGTTTCGGTCCGTCCTGGACCATTCTCAAGTCCATTCTCATTCGACTTGAGAATGGTCCAGGATGGACTGAAACGTCATCGTCCCTTCACCTTCTAGTGTGTGGTCTGGTCAAATTACTTTAGTCACGTTATTGTGACTCATCGCCTGCAAAATCCGTATTGTTACTGGGTAATGTAATTTACTGATGGCATATTATAAGACATTTTGAAACCTTCCGTTCAACTCCTCCTCCTGTTTAGGTAGTATTTTTTGTAACTACATAGACCATCATGCATATGTTGACGTAATGGGCAATTAGATAGAATTTAGTTCTGTTCACTGCATCGAGCTCAGAAAAATAAAGCTGAAACTAATCTTAAATATTACTAGGCCTATTATTGGACATGTATGTACTGTACTATATTAGGTCTCGGATAGCATGTATTAGGCCTAGGATGGTTAGGATAGGTTAGGTTAGGTTTTATTAGCAACATAAATTCAAAACCTTTGCTGGTTTGTTTAAATTCATTAGTAGCAAATTCTACTTTCTAATTGTCCATTACATCATTATATAATATATGAAAGGTAGTCCACATTGTACATATAAGTACTCTCTAGACAGGAGGATGGGCTGTTTCGTTGTAAAAACCTAAATTTGCCACCCAATTGAAAAATTATAAATGATAAAAATTCAATCCCCCATGATAAAAATTCTGAAATGGTTGAAAAGGTTAAATTAACAAATCCACAAGGGCCGTGACGAGGGTTCGAACCTACATCCGAGAGGATCCCAGACACTGCCTTAATCGACTGAGCTACGATTTGTGGATTTGTTCATTTGATGCATCACGCTATTGTGATTTCTCTTGTGTTGAAAAGGTTCTCTGCCTTCAGAATTGTCACCTGGATTTACCAAGCACCAATACTCATTCTTTCCTTTGTTCATATTTTGAATATACTGTATGTTCAAAGGTGAGGACATATATGTCTGGTATATCCAGTAACGTTTCTACTAGTTTCCCAGTTGCACCATCTAATTTTTTTATCCATAGTTATTAACTACCAGTTTTGTTTACAAAATATATAATTTTCTTCCTAGCTTCTCATTCAGTTCCTTAACCCTTTGCACATTACTGTACTTGGCATGATTCTTTTCACAAGCACAAAAGCAGTTACTTTCTTAAAATTGCATCATGTTCATGATACTACATAAGGTATGTATAAGTAATATGATACTTTCATTCAAATTAAAAACCTTTTCCAAAATAATTTTATTTAAAATTTTCTATTTTTCACAATTTCATGTTCATATTTTTAACACTTTTGCGCACTGCGCGCGCAAGACCCACACTACCCCAGGTGGGCTAACGCGTTTCATGGGAGCGCGCGATAATTCTAAAAAGTGTATACTCTATTCGACTTTGTCACCTCAATTCTCGTCCAAGGTTTTTCAATTTGGTATCATCGTGTTCGCAATAGAATTATCTACAGGACTAAAGGCTTTTAAGTCCAAAAGCCCGGCGTACCATTCACAACAAACGGAAAGTGAGTGTGTGTTACCCAGGAGCGCGCAAGAGCAATAAAATGTGTACACTCTCTTCACTTTTGTCACCTCAATTCCCGTCCTAGGCCTTTCATTTTGGTATCAGTGTGTTCGCAATAAAATTCCCAATGAGTATATGCATATAAAGTAAAAAACCGCAGCACTCTCCACCCGCCGACGAGATGAAAGTGGTCCAGAAAGAGAGCACTGCGCCACCCCAAGGCGCCTCTCATTACATTAGAGAGTGCAGTAATACTGAAAAGTGTATACTCTTTTCCACTTTGTCATCTAATTACTCGTCCTAGGTTTTTCAATTTGGTGTCAATGTGTTCGCAATATAATTCTGTACAAGACTAAATGCATATAAAACCCAAAAGCCCAGCGAGAAAGTGAGAAGGTAAGAGCGTACAAGTATTACCAAGAAGTGCGCAAAAGCAATAAAATGTGTACTCTCTCTTCACTGTGGACATCTCAATTCTCGTGTTAGGTCTTTCATTTTGGTAACATTGTGTTCGCAATAAAATTCCCTACAGGAATACAAATATAAAGTCCAAAAGCCAGGTGTACCATCCACAGTAAACACAAAGTGATAGAGCGTAATCCCAGTGTACGCTAATAAAATGGGTATACTCCTTTCAACTTTGTTACCTCAATTCTGGTCCTAGGTCTTTCATTTTGGTATCAAAGTATTCGCAATGAAATTCCCTACAGGTGTATATGCATATAATATCCAAAACCGCTGTGGGCCCCTCCTGAAGCGGCCGCCGCATTATGCTGCGTTGTTACCAGAAATGCGTCTACTAAAAAAACGACGCAATTCTGCGTCGTTACCGGACTAAAGTGCTAACAAAATAAGTAATAATATATTAATACTAATTATTATAAATTATGTTCCATATAATAAAAGTTCTGCTGTCCATTATGACATATTACCAAGTAAATTACTTCGTCACGTACCCCTTTTATGATGAGATATTGCCAATTGTGATTCTTAAGCCATAATTTAATACTTAACATATTGCTTGCAATTTAGAAAAGTGACACGTGTACTGGCAAAGAAAGATAATAAATAACTAAATTTGAAACACGCTCAAGATTAAATGTAACAGGAGTTTATACAAATTTGCAAAGGTGCTGCAGGTATGATCATTTACTGGCGCACCATGTGCACCTATCTCATTATTCACGAGGCCCATTCCCACATTGCAATTTAAATTGCTGCTTGCAATGATTTTAAGTTTTACGGAATCATCTTGGTTTCAATGTACAATAGACTACTAGGAGCTGTCTCTCTCTCTCTCTCCTGACTTTTGTAATTGCATGCTGCACATCTAATCTCTGCAGTCAACTTATTGCTGTTTAGCTTAAATTTAACACACACGCATTTTAACTGCTTGTGGGAAGCCTTTCATTTCCCTGTACACCTCTACATTCATTATGTTTAAGGTAACCAATTCAAACTTTATACATTACAAATTGCCCAGATCTCATACAATCGGGAATGTAGTTTGGAGCTACAGAAACTTATTTTGTTATATGTCCTGTGATAAATTGCAAACCTAATGTTAGTTGCTGTAAAGACCAAGGTGTATATTTGTTATTATCTTAAGCCAAGGTGTGTGAGCAGTTATCCTCCAGATTGAGTTGAATACTATATATATGATCTTCCACATGATTCTGAATACAGTACACTACTTTGAAATTCTTTACTGGTATATACTATCATCACAGTTGTGATTACAACCAGCTATGTGATGCTTACATACTCATATAGTGTATGTGTAATAAACATGGTGTGGGTGTTATAATATAAAATGTATGTGTGCAGACCGTGGAAACCTCCTTGAACATGATCCCTAGCCAGAGGAATGTTGAATAAAAAGGGGAAATTCCAATCCAGTAAACAATTCGAGGCAACAGAAATGGAAACGGTGTCCGCTCAGTCGAGACATTCCTGTTAGACCTGAATTTTGTGTTGCATTCATATTTCACGTATCCTATTATTGTATAAAGTTTTTCTTGTATACTGTACTTTTTATATCAAAACACACTGTGCTGAAGTGTGTACTGTTGTATGAACTAATAAAAATGTAATTATGGCCAAAAAGTAGAGATTTGATGTGGAATGGGTAATATGTGTATGGACAGATTTCCACAGTCTTCACCATATAGTTGTGGGGTGGTGTTTGTGAATATATAATACTTATCCATACACATGCAGTGGAAACCAGCTCAAACTTGTTGATTCATTCCAAGCTATGCCCGTTTTATCCAGTCTTAAGATTTTTTCATTGTTTTGGGGTACAAATATCATGCTTTGTTTGGTGAAAAAATATAGGGCAATCCTTTACACATTTTTATTAGAATCACTTTTGGAAAAGTACATTTTAAAAAAAAAAAATATTTTCCAATTTTTTTTTCTTTTCATTTTTAGCACTGCATTCTCTAGTCCAGCAAACATATGACCTACATGACTGGAACTTGTTGTATTATATTTTACATGTAGTAATCATTCTTTAGCCTATTTACAGTGGCTGGTACAGAATCTTGCCATAGCATCCTAGCTTTCATTGAACTGGGTGCCATTTGAGCATGTTTCCATTGTAAGTGTTTTCTAATATATAGTAAAGCATGTGCTTCAGATGACGCTTATATTCTTTTCAGATTCTGCCACGGCAGATCCAGAATTTTCAACAGAAAAGGTCTGCTACTCTAGTACCACTGGAGCGTTTTCAAAGAAAAAGAGGAAAATTGATGGTGAAAAGGGAGGCATTCCATCAGCTATGGCTGGACCAGATGGTCTTCCAATAAAGATGGAGGAATATGGGGAAAATAGAGATAAAACGACTGGTCTACAACATGAATTGGGTCAGGTACTATCTGATATTGAAGGTTTCATGGATGTGAAGTCAAGAGGTATAATAAGACCCATGAGAGGTGGAAATGCAAGATCTAGGGCAAGAGGATCAAGAACAAATGCTATGAAACCTCAGAGAATGAATTTTGCTAAATATATAAAAAATCAAATTGGAGGATATGGAAATATGAATAATCAAAGGTTCAAGTCAACATACCCAGAACCACCGGAAGATCTGTACGAGAAATTACGTTTGGCTGGAACAACTATCACAAGACCGGTTATTGCGAATAATTCTACTTCACCTCGAAAGATGGGAAATCAGAATCCTGGGTTCCAAGTAAAACGTGAAGGTAATGTTCAGAATCTCGCCCATCAATCTGCTATGCCCAGTACCTCGGGAATAATGCGAATGAATGCAGCACCACGCCCAGAGGTGTTTGCAAGAAAATTTTTACCCCAATCCACATCTGTTGTTGTGCATTATAAACCCCGTGCCAATGCAAGAGGTCGTCCAGTAAAGCCCAAAATTCCCATTCAGAGAATTCCAATTAAAAATATTCCCCCAAACATGCTTGCAAGAACTAACATTCCAAATTTCTCTGCACAAGGAAGTGCTCACAGATCTTCATTCTCTGGCTTCACAAGTCCTGGAGGTCATAAACAATTTCCTATCAATACTGGAAAAGGAATGCTGAGTCCAAGGAAGATCCAGCAGAATGTCTCGTCTACAAATCCAGGAGAAATTGTGTGTACCCCAGATGTACTCGGATTGCTTGAATCTGTCAAAGAGGCTGAAAAAAGGGCAGAGAAATCAGCGCTGTCTTCTCAGATTGGTGGAAAACCAAAGGTTCCTGAAGGAGTATTTGAAATGTCAGAGAGTTTATCACGACAATATCAGTCACAAACTCCAATGCAGCAACATTCTCAGACCTCTGGTCTTGTACAGTCACAGAAGCTTGATAACACAGTTATAACGACTCCAGGTATGCAGGCATCACCATCCATAAATGGATCTGTAAATACCGAAGGGCAAGGTCTAAACTCAGAGTATCAGCAGAATATGACACCTAAAGTGGAACAAAACTTGCAAGCACCAACTGAAGGTAACTTGAAGCCAGAGGAGAAAGAAATTTCAAGTCCCTTAGAAAACCTAACACACAAACCCTTGGAAGAACAAGTGCAGCAATTTACCAAACAAGATTCTGCAAACTATAGGGAAATGCTTCAGACTTGTGTAGAGACTAATTCTCCAGAAGAAAAAACACATGCATCTATGGGACAAAGCGAGGAAGTCTCTGTAGGGATGAAGGCTCATGCATTGAATTCAAATGGTGAACATTTAGTGCCTCTGGCACATAACACGCCATCTTCACCTGAATCAAATCAGTTGCATATGCCACTTGCATTGCAGACTCAGGCACAAACATCCCTGCAGCACCATGAATTAACACACCAGGTACCACTTCCTTTCCAGACTCAAACTACAACACCCATGCACACCCAGGCTTCAGAACTACCTACTTACACGCAAACCTTGGACCCTAGTCATACTCGGGCATCGGAGCATCCTTTTGACAGACAGGCATCCGAACATCCTATTTACTCTCAGGCATCAGAACCTCCTGTTCACACACAGGAATCAGAGCATCCTGTTCACACTCAGGCATCAGAGCATCCTATTTACACCGAGGCATCAGATCGTCCCATACACACCCAGGCATCAGAGCATCCTGTTCACACTCAGGCATCAGAGCACCCTGTTCATACGCATTCATCAGAGCATCCTGTTCACACCCAAGCATTGGAGCATCCTATTTACACTGAACCATCGGAGCATCCTGTTCACACCCAGGCATCAGACCATCCCATTTACACCCAGGCATCAGAGCATCCTGTTCACACCCAGGCATTGGAGCATCCTGTTCATACCCAAGCATTGGAGCATCCTGTTCACACCCAGGCATTGGAGCATCCTGTCCACATACAGTCATCAGAGCACCCTGTTCACACCCAGGCATCAGAACATCCTATTCACATTCAATCATCGGAGCATCCTGTTCTCACCCAGGCATCAGAACGTCCTATACACATTCAATCACCGGAGCATTCTGTTCACACTCATCCTGTTCACACTCAGGCATCTGAGCATCCTGTTCACACTCGGGCATCGGAGCATCCTGTTCACACCCAGGAATCTGAACATCCTGTTCATACCCGGGCATCTGAGCATCCTGTTCACTCCCGGGCATCTGAGCATCCTATTCACTCCCGGGTATCAGAGCATCCTATTCACTCCCGGGCATCAGAGCATCCTGTTCACACCCGGGCATCAGAGCATCCTGTTCACACCCAAGCATCAGAGCATCCTATCTACACCCAGCCATCAGTTTCCGTACATTCAGTCATGACCACGCACGAGTCAATGCCTGAACATTCACAAGCACAGTCAGGCCTGCAAACTACAGTGCATTCAACCTCAGAAGCAGCACATCCTCTATTACCCATGCAAACATCACCCTTCACAATGTCTTTGCAGATGCAACCTCCATCAGTGCATGGCCCATCACTGAACCCCATGTCCCTGTCACACATCCATTCTCAGATGCTTTCCTCCATTCACACAGCCTCGTTGCCCCCTGTACATCCTCAGCTGTTAACCCCAATGCCTGCACACACACTTGCATCCATGAATTCACAGTTACATCCCTCCATTCACATGCCTCATCTGTCAGCACCAATGCACATGCATCTTCAGACACCACCACATTCATCGCACCCGGTACCGGCACAGATCCCATTCATTTCACCCAGTGATATTTCAAAGGCAGCATTACAGCGGTTTTCACACAGCCCAGATTCACAAGCAGTGTCCAGATAGAAGATTTCACCTTCCAATCAAAACCGTACAAATGGATATTAGTCTTAGATATTGTTTGAGCTAGATAAGTGTATAGAATAAATAACTGTGAATGTCCAATGTAAGAAAATATTTTGCATATTTTTTTTTCCAGGTTAGGTCTTCAGTTTTAGTATGCTTTTCTAGTATTCAATGAATAAGCTAGAAAAATACTAGAAATCCAAATTTATGGATTGGATGTAAAATTTTCTTCTATTTCTTTGCAGGAGATTAAATCTAGCTATTAGCAGGTTATGCATAATAGCCAAAGTGCGTGCTACCTCAGTGCATGATTTGTTTTTAGCTGAGCTATTATACAGTACATTTCACTTTTTAACATGCAAGTAAAAATGACGGCAGTATGTGACGTCGATGAAAGTTATGTAGAATAAAGCACTGGTGGAATGGGAGCTAAAATGCTAAAATTTATACAGTATTAACATTTTTAGTCCTGATCTAGCTTATTTGTTTTGTGTTTAGAATTGTGTGAATATAAGCTTAGTGTATTCTGAAATAATAGGATGACTAGTTTTACACTTCAGAATTTTTTTTTAATTTAAGAAAACAAATTGTATTATTACTTGAGAAAGACGAATAATTTCCAACAGTCTTAATCTGATCTCATGACTAAAAATAGGTATAAAACTTCTTATCTGGTAATGTCTTCATTACTGTTATAACTCATGTTTTGTGAAGACATTGAGTTGTGGGAATTACTGTAGGTTTATATTGTTGGTTTTTAGATAATTTGCTGTTGAATATGTAATTCATTCACTTCAGTAATTCACATTTTGCAGATAAAATATATCTTGTGAAGTGGTTGATATGTTCCATCCTTGACTTGTAAAATATAATAGATTTTGAGATTGCTTTGACATTCACAGTTTCATCATAAAAAGTTGTATGGAGTATTATGGATTGTCACTCTGCCCATTTTGCTGTTTTGTACCCATCTAAATGTACCTGTAAATCTCCATTTATTCTCGCATCATTATTTTTTCATATTTTGCTGTTTTCTTGGCACTTTGTGCTTAGTCTGTTATATTTATTTTTTTTACTAGTTCGTTAAACACAGTAACATACTTTTTAAAAGTTGTGTTTAAGGTTTTCTTGAGAGTTACTGTGATACTGGGTGAGGGATTCAATTGTAATTAAAATTGTTTCTGCTACCTATGCAGTAGCGAGAGCAACTTGTAGAAATATTAAATGTTTCTGTTGCTTTGGAGTAATTTTAAGACATTGATGTAGAGCAATGGTCAGTGATGTTACAAATTTGTGAAGCTCTATATGGTGGAGGGTACTCAGTGGCCACTCGTGGAAGGAGCCCAGTAGCCACTCCTGGAGGGAACCCAGTGGCCACTCCTGGAGGGAACCCAGTGGCCACTCCTGGAGGGAACCCAGTGGCCACTCCTGGAGGGAACCCAGTGGCCACTCCTGGAGGGAACCCAGTGGCCACTCCTGGAGGGAACCCAGTGGCCACTCCTGGAGGGAACCCAGTGGCCACTCCTGGAGGGAACCCAGTGGCCACTCCTGGAGGGAACCCAGTGGCCACTCCTGGAGGGGACCCAGTGGCCACTCCTGGAGGGAACCCAGTGGCCACTCCTGGAGGGAACCCAGTGGCCACTCCTGGAGGGAACCCAGTGGCCACTCCTGGAGGGAACCCAGTGGCCACTCCTGGAGGGAACCCAGTGGCCACTCCTGGAGGGAACCCAGTGGCCACTCCTGGAGGGAACCCAGTGGCCACTCCTGGAGGGAACCCAGTGGCCACTCCTGGAGGGAACCCAGTGGCCACTCCTGGAGGGAACCCAGTGGCCACTCCTCGAGGGAACCCAGTGGCCACTCCTGGAGGGAACCCAGTGGCCACTCCTGGAGGGAACCCAGTGGCCACTCCTGGAGGGGACCCAGTGGCCACTCCTGGAGGGGACCCAGTGGCCACTCCTGGAGGGGACCCAGTGGCCACTCCTGGAGGGAACCCAGTGGCCACTCCTGGAGGGAACCCAGTGGCCACTCCTGGAGGGAACCCAGTGGCCACTCCTGGAGGGATCTCGATTGCTGGACCTTGATAACCTGAGAGGCACAAGATTAGATATGTGATGAACCTATGGCAGCCAGTCTCACAGCAACAGATTCTTTGTAACTCATCACTCTTTAACTTATTTGTTTTGTTTCGAAGACTGCTGGTATCTATTTGATTAAATAAAGTTCTATAGGTAGAATATTCTGTAAATTAAACTTTTACCTGCACTGCTATGGAGATGGTATTGAGAGAATGACCTTGGGCTGAATTAAGATATTTTCTCGACTAAGGTGAATGTTCCTCCTATTTGCTTGCGTTTTCCTTGTCCCTCGTAAAGTTAAATAAGAAGTAAGGAGGGATGCAACTTTTAAGTACTTTGCCGTGTGAAAAAATATGTAGTAAAGATATCTTGTCTTGGTCATCCTTGGTCAGTGTTTTCTCTGTAATAAAGATGATGAAATATAATGCACCTCGTGAGTGTAAGTCAAGTGCATTGCATGTTTTTGGTACTTTCATTATACAAGAGTTCTCATTATCATAAAATCATGTTAGATACGAACACGATCACTGAAATCACATTTGTCCTACACTCACTCAGTGTCTTAGGCTAGTGAATGTAATTTATTGTGTCGACAGACTGCAGAAAAATCACCATACCCACAATCCTGTATATAGTGAAAATTGTCACATTATTTCATTAAAGAGATAATCCATTTTATCCACGCTTTTACTTTAACCACGATATTGGGGATTATGATTAATAATTGGAAGTTTAATTCAGAAAGGAATAGAGCACAATAACTGGATCTAGAGTTAATAAGCAAGCCTTGAATTTATAAGATGGTTGATTTAGGATCTTTTAAATATCCTGTGACACAGATGGGGCTAAATAGTCTTCCTGGCTTGGTGCCTTCATTGTTAATTGCTCACAGGCTTGTTCTTGATGTATAATCAAGCTTTAGATTTCTAGTTTAAAAGCTGTATATGTGAAGTCTCAAACACTTGGCATAGAATACCCCCCTCCCTTTCCGGCCTGTTCTTGTGAAGGGGCTTGGTGGACGACTATTGGAGTGTGATGCTCCATGGGACAATCCTCTGTCCTTTTAAAGCCTTATGTTCCTGTTGCTATCGTCACTAATTATGCTGGAATTCTTTTCCTTTTCCTTATGTTTCATTTTTCTCCCCCATCTTCTCCTTTCTAATTTTAATTTCCCGCCGATCTTTTGCCCGTCTTGATTCTTTTGGACATCATCTGTTTTGGCGCAAACTCTCACCTGTAGAACTGTGGTACCCAACGTTGCGAGCAAGGGGATGCTTTTATTGTCAATCATTCTTTTGTCACTGAACCCGATCTCGACGGACTGACGGTTCTAAGGGTGGCGTTTGTGGGGAGTATGTTCACGATGCACCCCCTGAGAGGCCTCGGCAAGACCTGTCTCTTGTTCGGTGTCCTATCCTCTAATTGTGGCTCCATGGTGGGTAGGGGGCACATTCGTGAATGAAAGTATTGCCTCTCGTTTTCATGTTGTTGAATACTGTTCCTCTTATGACTTTTCAGGCTCGTGGGGTGGGCGACCAAGCCCCCGAGTCGGGCTATGTGGGAAGACTGGACTCTGTAGCCCCCGCTACATTGGGCCCAGACCTAGCTCCTCCTCTGACCCTCCTGACTACTCCCCTCGGCATATCTCCCTCTGTGATTGGGTCGAGCCCCAAGCCCCCAGTGGTTACCACCTCGTTCCCTGGCACGGTTCAGTCTCTCATTGTGACTACTGCACCTTTTAACTCCTCTCTGGGGGTTCTCAACGCCGTCGTCGCCACGGCCGCACTCGCACGATCCCTTCCCATACTAATACGTACCACGCCTTGTTTGGTCCTGCTTCATGGGCTAAATACTTTGATCGCCACCATCTAGATTCTACACCTGACGATTTCTCCCTCCATAAACACCTTGTTGATTCAATAGATACCTCTTGTTACTTTTAACCCCACCCGTCTCGGTACACGTGTTGTGGCTGCTCCTCAGGACGCAGCTACCCACTTAGCCGCATTGTCCTGCATTGGGGAGACCCTTGTACGGGTCTCTGAAAACGCTCGGTTCAATGCCAGTGTTGGCACTGTTCTCCCGCATCATGTTGCAACTGGTGTTAGGGCCCTAAAAGACTGCCATGAGGATATTAAACATATTCTCGAAGACCAAGGCTATCCTGTCCTCCAAGTGGACACGTTTACTCAAGCCCCTCGTGGTCGTCGTCATCAGCCCCTTCGAGTTGTGAAAATCACCTTCGATAGTAGGACCCTTCCGCTCTCTTATCATTCTTGCTGGTGCCAGGTGCTCCATTCAGGAGTACATCCGCTCTCCTAGACTTTGTAATAAGTGTTGGAAGTTCGGGCACGGTGCCCTCAAATGCACAAGTCTCGTCTCTCTATGCCCCATGTGTGGGGACGATGACCACTCTAAGACAGAGTGCTCTTCTCCCCAAGCTCGCTGCCTCAATTGCGGCGAGACCCATCCTACCTTCTCCCGCACGTTTATACACTACAAGCTTGAGGAAGCCGTCCTCAACTTGAAACACCGGGATCGTTTGACTTTTCCTGAAGCGAGACGCCAAGTCCACCGTCTCCACCCTTTCACTGGCGCATCTTATGCTCGAGTGTTGCGTTCTACCTCTCCTCGTCCTTCCCACCTTCTTCAGTCACACAACCATTTCCAGGCCTTGGACCCGGACACACCCACCGCCTCCTCCCCTGTTTCTTTCAGTTTTGTCCCAAAGGGTCTCCCTCTTGGCTCTGCATCTGGAGTTTCCCCCCTTCCTACCCAGTCCGCCATGTCTTCTGTTTTCTTTTTCATCTCCCAATCCTTCTTCCCAACCCTTCCCCCAGTCTCTTGGCCTTCCACGCCACCTGTCTGTCCAGGCTGTTGTCCATCATCCTCACAGCAATCTTTATATTGTTTGCCCCGTTCTTCTTCTGTTGAGACCTTTGAGTCTGTCGCCCAGTACTTTGTTGGAACACCTGTCTCTTTGAGTCAGAAACGTGAACCTGGCTCCTCTCCTTCCTCCTCCCCAGCGGGTAAGAAGGCATCGCTTTCTTCCTTGCCCCCCACCTCTGACTATCACTACCCTGTACGTCTCCTCTCATTTCGGTGGTCTGGCCCCCTGTCCCAGCTCTGGAGGTTTCTTTAGCCCCCGATTCCCTCAAGGTTGCTGCCCTTGCTGAGGTGCGCTCCCTGGTTTCTACCCCCCCTTTCTCCTGCTGTCCTTGACAGCCCCTCTCGGTTATCTCCTCCTCCTCCGGACCCCATCAGTCCGCCTCTGGTCTGTCCTCTCGCTCCCTTCCCTCCATCCTTATTAAGTTACCCATGCTCCCTAACCCTGATTTTGCTGACCTTGATCCTGATCTTGAGCTTATTTAATACACTGTGTTCTTCTTTACCTTTGTTTCTTCATTGTTCTCTGTTGCTGTCCTTTCTCTTTTTGATAATGTTTATTCTTCAGTGGAATATTCGTTCATTTTATGCCAACTTCCATGAACTCCAACTTCTGATTACACAGTTTTCATCACTATGTGTTTGTCTCCAGGAGCCAGTGCTTGGTACTCGTCCTGGGCAGAGCGAGTCAGACCAGAAGGACAAACATATGCAAATATTATGCAAAGGGCTTATGCAGACATAGATACACAGGTAATAAGAAAGGATTAGAATGCAGTTACCAACATCCCAAAAAATGTTTAAATATGCTTAAGAAAGGTCAGTGTCGATTTGGATCAACATGTAGGTTTTTTCCATCCTGACATGTGGATTTGTTCATTTGATGCATCACGCTATTGTGATTTCTGTTTGTAATGAAGTAAGGGCGAAGAGGTAGAATAGCTTATTGGCATAGTTCGGGTGCATGGGGAAATTGTGTAAAATCCAGGTTTGTGTCTCGGAGAGACTGCAAGATCCGTGGTAGGTCAAATTGAACTCCGGCTGCATTTTTTTTACCATGTCGTAGCACAGTCGTTTAAGGCGCGTCTGGGATCCTCTCGGACCCTCATCACGGCCCTTGTGGATTTATTCATTTGATGCATCACGCAATTGTGATTTCTGTGGGTATGTGTATCTTGCTTCTCGACCATCCCTCGCGTCGGGAAGCAAGGTCACTTACCCCTCGATAGAATTCTTGGTGATTCGGATACCTTCCATATCGTTCACCTTATGCGATCTTGTTCTTGTATTGGCATCCTTAGTAACATTAGCGCACAATGAATATCCCGCACATTTGATGGTGCTACATAGCCTTCCCGACTTGATACCTTCTTTTGATAATTACTTACCATATTGCATTAATTTGTTGAGATACTCATTTTGACAAGATATTAGACAAATTTATTTTAAGTTTAAAGCTCTAGGAAAATATTTGTTAATTTAAACACTCAGGCCTCTTAGCCTTCTTTCTGTTCTTAATAATGCATTAAAAACTTCCACTTGTAAACCATTTACTTCAATTCCACTTGCAAATTCACATCCTCCTGTTGCTAACTTCAATGGCTGCACCACTAAAGCCAATTGTTACGCTCATGAACGATATAATTCCTACATCACTCATTGTCAGGCCACGACCCCAACCATCCCAGATCTTGACACCTCTGTTGCTCACCAAGGAGGGTAGAAATAGCCTAAGCTACTCTATCCCTTTGAGATGTATTTTTTTCTTGTCTCGATAAACATACTTGAACTTGAACTTGTTGCTCACCTTACTGTGATGGCTAACATCTCTCCACATTTCCCCCCGACACATTTCATGAACCCGAGACAACTGAGGACACCGCTGCATATATCCAGATCTCTCGCTGTGCCACTAGATACTAGACCCCCAACTAGAGACAAAAGTAATTCTTGTAGCATACCACATTATTTACCTTTAATGTGCCAGCTACTTATCACCATACTCACTAATGGCACTTGCATTCATATTTACTAATTGAGTTTTCTCATCTTGAATATTGATTAATGCTTACTTCTCCTTTCAATGCAAGAAAAATTTTCTTAGATCTAAGAAATCATGAAAACATATACTGCGTACATAATCAAAGCACAATAATCTAAATAACTTAAATCATCTCAAAAACACTCAAAATGTACTCAATGGAAAGATTACGAGAGAGGTCTCATATAATATGTACTTTACATGAAAGATACTCGAAGGTCAGGTTCCAAATCTGCACAATATAAGAGCACTTTACTGGACGAAAGATGGAGTAGGAAAATGCAGAATAGATAAAGTGAAGAGTAGAGGTGCCATCGGTGAAATCAAAGAACACTGTATGAATGTCACAGGCTCAGAACTCTTTAACACCCTTCCACTATGCATGAGAAATATTGCCAGAACAAAACTGACTTTTCAATAGATAACTGGACAAATTTCTAATGAAAGTGATACCTGATTAACCCACTTGAAGAAATTCCTCTCTTTACTCATTCGCCACGTTTTAAACAGCTTCCAACGTAAGGTGCCATTGTAACAAACAAGGAGAGTTTGGGGACTTTACTTTTATTGACTAATCAAGAGTGCAGGCCCTCGTTCACTTGCAAAATCTCCTGCAGATAGAAACTGTGTAGTGTTAAAATTCAGGTAGAAAATATGTCAATTACATCAATTTGTTGCACTCTTAAATTAGGCAACTGACGAGGATCAAATACAGACACCCAACACTACCTTTGCTTCAGATAAGTCATCG